TTTTGAAAGGAAAACGAATTGTTTAGAATAATTGGTTAAATAGCTGATGGACTAATTGATAGAAAAATCATTCATTAGTGGCAGCCTTAGTGAAATTTGTATTAAAAAATGTTAGAGAGGAGATGGTGGCTGCAGCAGAGAAATGTCGTCCTTCCCAAGTTCCACCATCAGCGTTGGGATCCACACTCCAGAAGTACCGACCTTTTGTTTTGTACATTTTCTCCCCCGGAAACATTCCTGAAAGAAGCTCCACAGGTGCAGTTCTTGCAGTTGGAACATGCACAAAGGTTCAGGTGACCCTAAAAGAGCCTGACGGTGCAGGTGCTAAAGTTCCTTAAAGTCGCTCAGAGAAGTTAAAGATGCTGAGAGGTTTGTCTTCAGCAGGATATTAATGTGACGCCACCCTGACAACCCGAGTGATGCGGACGCTGAGATATTTGCACCTGAGCTCCACTGATCCTGACTCGTTCCTCTGCTGCTTCCTGCCAAAGTCCACTATCAGCTCCGGGTTCTTCTCCCGACACCAGAACCATTCATCATGCTAACTCTCTGAACCCCAGACACTTCCTGTGCATTTATGATTTGCTCCTGTGGCCTCATTTTTCACTTCATCATGAAGTCCTGCGCCGCTGCAGAAACAGCTGAAGGCAGAGAGAACTCAGAAATGTCTCCTGGGCCATAAATCATATATAAAAAAAGAAAAAATTTGATTATTTATGTAACAAAAGTAGAAAAAAAAAGTAAAACTACATTTTCCAAAGTGCCCACAAATGTTGCTCATATTGGAAAAAATGATGACGATACACAAAATAGATATTTAACTTATTATATTTAAAATTAGTTTCCTGTCTTTTAACGCTGCGTGCAGTTCAGCCAAAAAGTCCCTGAATTTACAACAAATTTAAATGAGACATATAGAAGAAAGTGAGTGTAATGAGATATTAAAATTGTGAGTTTAGCTTTTGGTAAGTTGTCTGCCCATCATAGATTAGAGCTTTTTTTTTTTTTTTTTTTCCCTTTTTCTGTTTGTACTGTTTCCGGCTGTGATAAATGATGCAATTTTTGAGAATTTTTTAATTGTTTAAATTTCTGCCTTGGATAAATAGTGTAATTTTGGTAATTTTTAACTGTTTCTATATTTCCTGGTTGTGACAAATAATGTCATTTTTCTGATTTTTTTCCCAGTTTTTTCTTTTTAGTTTCTGGCTCAGAGAAATTGTGTCATTTTGTTTGTTTTTTTCTGTTTTTAGCACTTCTGGCTGGGATGAATAATGTAATTTTTCTATTTTTTAAAAAAGTTTCTGGCTGAGATAAATAGTGCCATTTAGGCTTTTTCTGTTTTTACAGTTTCTGGCTTTGATAAATGACGATTTTGTCGATTTTCTCTGTTTTTATAGTGTCTGGCTTTGATCAACAGTGTAATTTGTGCAGTTTTTGTTCTGTTTGCTTCTCATTGGTGCAATTTGGATGATTTTTTTTAAAAAGATGTAGAAGAGGTGAAAGCATATTTAAAAGTCCCAAACAGACTCTCGCACTCTGTCCAACTGCCAAAATTACATTTGCAAGGTGTTGGCGCTACGCCTTCATCAGGTAAATAGTTTATTAGAACGTGATCTTTAAAAGAGAGCAACTCTAACTCTGCAACCAGCAACATGCTGTACATAGAAAGTTAGAGAACACTCTGTGTCGTCGCTAATTCAATTAAAATCATCAGTGCACCCAAAAACTGCTTCCACTAAATGAATAAAATACAAGGATGTGAACGCTTGAAAGCCCCCAAACTATACGTCCAGTCTTCCTAAACCTTGTGGGAGTTGTATGTAGATGAAGCTGCAGAGAAACATTGAACAGATCTGTGAAGAAGATCATCGATGAGCACAGAGAAACCTTCATAAAATATAGAACGGGTTCTCATAAAAGCTAAATCTGTTCACAGTATATTGAGAATAATCACCGTGATGACGATTAAAGATTTATAAACCCTGCTGTGCTTATTATGAAGAATTATGTTTGTTCATGGGCTGCAAGGTGGCTCGGTGGTTAGCACCGTCGCCTCACAGCAAGAAGGTTGCCGGTTTGCGTCCTGTTGAAGACACCCGGGATCTTTCTGCGTGGAGTCTCCATGTTCTCCCCGTGCAGCGTGGGTTCTCTCCGGGTTCTCCGGCTTCCTCCCACACAGTCCAAAAACATGTTGAGGTTAATTGGTGATTCTAAATTGTCCGTAGGTGTGAATGTGAGTGTGCTTGGTTGTCTGTCTCTAAGTGTAGCCCTGTGATAGACTGGTTACCTGTCCAGGTGAACCTGCCTTCACCCTGAGTCAGCTGGGATAGACTCCAGCCCCCCATGACCCTAGTGAGGATTAAGCGGTGTATAGATGATGGATAGATATTTGTGCATTGATGCTCTTTGTTTACTTTCAATTTTAACTGCATCGCTGCTGGTTCATCTACATATGGACCCTCAAGATTTTGGAGACGGATGTTTGGAAGATGGAAAGTGAAAGTTGTAAAAAAGGAACCCAGGTTGATTTTTTAATGTTGTTAATGTTTTGTTAAGTGTACCAAAGAGTCTCTTTGCTGATTGGACATACTGACAACTTTCAATAATTTACCTTGATGCTAAACCAGTTTTGCTAATACAAAAAAAGTCTCTACATGTGTCCGTGTCCACGTTTGTCTCCCTCAGATTGCAGCACCCGGCTGTTTAAAATAGCTCCGACTGCCTCCATGAGCTGTGCGTCACTGCCGCTACAGCTGAAACGTAGGCAAACATTTTGTAGGTGGAGAGGCAGCATTGTAGCCCAAAGTTATAATAATCCACCCAAATCAATTGTATCCGCCGACTTTAAGGAAAAAAACAAAACATCCAACCGCTCTTTTCTGAAAGCTAAAGGAGACACAAGCCGATCAAACTCTGCATCATTTCTCTGTTCTGCAAACCATCACTGTCATTTCATGAGTGTTGCCTGTTTCTGTTGAATCAAGTTCAGCATTTAATGCAGTTCTCAATCTGTTTATTCTGATATGAATATCTTTGAACGCCTCATCAGTTCTTTTTGTTTATTTGAGATGAAGACATCCCAGCGTGTCCTTCTGAACAGTTCCAGGTCTACAGAGAGGTTAACTCATCCTGCTGCTGGGTTTTCTTTTTAAGTTAGGAAAAAAAAAAAAAGCCACGAGTTCTTACTTTAACCTTCTGAACCTCAAAACCTGCTGACGGGTTTTAAGAGCTACCTTTAGAAAATATGTCAAAATTACACCGTTTATCAGAGGCAGAAACTGTACAACTGAAAAAAACAACGAGAGTCCTTGAAGTACTCACCTGGGACGTGCCGTTCCACCTGGAAAATAAACAAACCTGAGCTTAAAATTGAGATATTTCTTTAAAATCACTTCAGTCTGTTGTCTTGTTAAAAAAAAATGGGCAAAACTGAACCATTTGCACCAGATTCAGTAAAAATCTGAACACTCTGTGCTCCTCGGTGCAACTGAGTGACTCATCTGTGAACAACAGACTTTTCAGCTAAATTTCCAGAGTATGTAGAACCACTTATGTGCACTCAAAAAAAAAAATGTTGTCTTGGTTAATTTCAGCTTTTTCCATTTTTGGATAAATAAATAAAAACAAAATTAACTTTTATTTTTTAATGATTTATGGCACTGAAACCTAAAAATGCCTTTCTGTAGCTGATGTAGTACAAAACACAGCAAGTTTGTAGAAGTTGTAAAAACGTAAATAACAAAATAACTATAGTATGTATATATATAATTCTATATATATAATTCCTGGCTTCATAAACTTGTCATACGTCACAGGAAACATGTTTGAGTTTTCTCTACTTCCAGCCATGGTTGTTGTGTTTCCATACAGGTGCAGGACTTCACATTGCAGTGAAAAATTAATCCACAGGAACAAAAATGTGCAGAAACCCAACAGAAACTGCTTGAAGTTCAAATAGTTCATGTAACAAACACTAGATAAATAAACTCACCTGTTCCCCTTTTTACTCCGAGTATTTATGGGACTTTTTTCCAAATCTAAGCAAGACTGTGAAAAATGTAATTTGGGGTTTGTTGGGTCACTGGTGAGTCTTCCTGGTTGGGTGGATGGTTTTGAGGTCTAGCTCGAAAATGTTCATCATGTCTTCTTAGTGATAATATATTGTTCAGGTTCTCTATTCAGACATGTAGAGTGTGGTTCTTATTACCTGACAGTTTTGGCGACAACGCTCGCCTTCTTCAGAGATGACACTGACAGCGGGTGACGTGTCAGCCGGCAGATGTTGACAGCCGGCACACGGTTTTGAGGTCTGACTTCATGGACAGAGGCAGTGAAGGAAAACACAGACTGAAAAAATAAACATACGATAGTCTACAATACCAGTGTATCCATACGACAGCGGTAGGGTTTCCCTGAACTTACACTAAGTGGCCCACAAGTACTTAACAGGTGGAAAGGTTTGTTTACATGGCTACGAAGTGCAGCAAAGAATTTGACTTTTTCCAGCATTCTCCACCAACACTCAACAATTACAGCTTTAAAAATAAGTGTACAGCCACAGAGCTCTTTTTCTCCCCCCCTCGTCCATTCTTTGTATTTTCCTTTGAAAGACGTTCAGAAATTTCCAACCACAAACAAACCTTTACCTGCAGGCTGAGTGGAGCTCCTGGTTCTGCAGCTGTGGCTTCAAGGAGCAAAAAAAAAAACATATTAATTGATTTTTTTCTCTTCTCTCTGTGCGTCACGCATCCATTAGCTTTTAGAATCTGGTTGTTTGGAGGCTGTTTGTGTTTTGTCTACTGATGTAGGCTCGTCTCCACTTTCAGCGACACCACAAAGGCTACGCATTATCTCCCCCTAAGTGTCACAGAGCTTCATGTCTCTGCTCAGACAGAACAAAAAAGCTTTAATCGACAAAACAGGGACGAGCTTCAGCCTCGATGGATGTAGTTTTAGTAGTTATTGGCAGAACTGATGGTTGTTTCGCTGCTTTTTTTTTTTAGAGTCGGTGCAGAACTGGACATGTTGTCGTATTTTTATTCATCTGCTGGAAAACAAAACCACAGAAGTGATTTGGTTTTACAAAATTAAAAGGTTTATTCTCCCTAAATTGAACATACACATGATTTGCAAGAACTCTGAAGTATTCTGGCCTGTTGGCATCTATAGAAGTTTAGAAATATGTGGTTCAGATATGACAGCAGGATTGATCACAGGTCGTTTAATGGTTGGTGACGTTTAAAGGAATCGACACTTAATCACTCATAAAACTGATTTAAATACTTGCTTTCCCATTATTAGTGCTGAAACTAACAGTTATTTTCATTCTCCATTAATAAGTGGATTATTCTCTCAATTTATCAGTTAGCTGTTGGATCAATAAAATCAATCCACAACCCGAGTGTACTGTCACAGAAGAAGAGAGGAAGCAGAGAATCATCACATTCATGTAGCTGCAATTCTTGCCGCAATTATCAAAGCAGTTAATTTAAAATTTGACGATCAATCGATTAATTGTTGCAGCTCTAGACGTTCACTTCAGAAACCATACCGACCCCCTTTTGCTTCACAGTGTTAAAAAATAATAAATCTGCCATTTCCAACCACTGATCCTCTCCCAACAGCACAACATAACAACAATGTGTAGAGAGTATGTCAGGAAAAAGATCTGGTTCGTCCCAGTAGGTAGGTTGTCAGATTGATGCTGCCACCTCCATGCTTTGCTTCAGGGATGGTGTTAGCAGAAGATGAACAGTGCCTGCTGCTCAACACACATAAGGTTTGGATTTCAGCCTAAAGATAGAAATGTTGTACCTCAGAATGCAGTTTGAAAAACCCCAAACAGGCTCCATCCACCTCAGAGTAGCTGCCCTTCCATTAAGGCCTGATTCCTTCCAGAGGACTTCTGAAGCTCTGTTCAAGTTAGTTTGTACAGATGGTCGACTCTACAAATACAGTTGTGGTGTTTCCAAACGTCTTCCAGTTCACAGTTACTGAGGCCACTTTGCTCCTGAACACTCAAAGCTTTAGAAATGGTTTCATACCTTCATCCTGATCTGTGCTTCGTCTGCAGAGAGTTCATGGACTTCATAGCTTGTTTGTCTTTTTCTTTTGTGCTAACGTGAGCTGCTGTGTGTCTTTCTAAACCTAATCAAATCAAATTGTCACAGGTGAGACTCCAAACACACGGATTACTGAAGCAAACAAAATGCAACCGACTACATTTGGTGTGCCACAGAAGAGTGTTGACTTTCGTAGATTTAATAAGATTAAAAAACAAACAAAAGACCCCACAAAACTTCCAAAAACATGTTTCAGAGTTTGTCATTAAGGGTTACTGGCTGTAGAAAATGTTCGTCTCATTCATTTAAAAATCAATCAACGACACAAAAACGTGACAAAGTCTGCAAACAGTTGGGTTTTATGTTGAACCAATGTTGTGGTCAGAACCAGTACGATCCTACATTAGCTTCTTTTTGACGCCTTTTATTACGACTTTCTAACTCGAGCGGTTTTACGAAGCCTTTCCTTTGAGAGCAGACGGCAGGAAGGCGACGGGAGGTCAGGGGAGAGATGAGGGATGTCATGCAACATTAGTCCTCTTTCAGACGTCCAACCGGAGACGCTGCAATTACATGGTGAGTGCCTTAAAACCCGAGAACACGTGAGCGCTCGGACATCTCTCCAACCTTCAACAACCCATTTGTTTCAAAACAGAAGCAGCCGTTCTCTAGCTCCGTGTCTTCACTGTGCAAAAACAAGTCTCTTGATTAGGGACACCTGTGCATCTATTTCAGTTGAATGCAGCAGCTTAACTTTCAACGTTTTTAACGCTACGAAGCAGATATCGACAGTTTGACTCATTGTCAAGCTGCAGCATGATTCCGGGCCTGTTCGGATAAGAATCTAAACATGTAAACTCTGTGAAACGGTGGCACATCACTGAATGTTTTAAAGAAGATTGTCCCAGAGAGGATCTTGCTGGAGCGTGATCCCCATCTGTCATACCAGCTTTATATGGATGCAAATGACCAAGAAAACAGTTTCTCGAGAAGCGAGCGCACGCTGAATGAAGCTTATCGGTCATTCAGCTTCTTGACGTCAGTCAGACCGCTCGCTGCTAAACTGCTTGGAACATGTTGGACGTAATGTGAAATCTGTGCTGCAGTGAGCGCTTCGTTGAGCACAAAAATATTAATTTGATCTGAGGTCGCCTGAAAAGACGGCAAGACAGTTAAATGTTAAAATGCAGGCTCGGTTACATCCAGTGATTTTTTTTACTTACAGGCTTAAATAAACTCCAAATCCAAGATATGAGCTGATATTTAAGAATTATTTTACATCTTAATTACAGTATGTTTTCTTAAATATGCAGTTTTGCCTTGGATACGGCCAAACGTCGTACCAGATCTTGACCGTCGGTTGTCTTTTCAGTTGCTGATCCATCAGGAAACAGCAAAACAAAAATGACTTTTCTGATTTCATACATGACTAGCAAGAAAAGGTGTTGATGAAAACCTGATTAATTGCTGTTAATCATCATTTAGAGGATTAACGTTATATAAGCTGTTAAGGCAGAAAAATAAAATGATTTCTAATTAATAGCAAAGTTGATCACCGGTGAAGAAACTAGCCCTGACTGGCTAAGATTTAAAATGTGCATGGGTTTAGCTAACAATGAGGCACCATGACAGAGACTTTCATAGCAGCTAAAGGCCTCCAGACACTGTTGTTGTGTCGATATCAAGCCCATGTGAAGCAGAACTGTGATCTATGACCGTGTGACTGATGAAACTGATCCCACATACTGTAAACATCAAGCATCAACCTCATTAACACATAGAATATTGACCATTGTGCTTTTTCCCCCCCTAAGAAAACAGTTTAAAAGTCCATTTGCAACCAGAGCCTGTACATAAGAGACTCTGGCTCTGAAAATAAAAGTGACTTAAACCTGCATTCTTACTAACAGCCAGCAGGGGGCGACGCCTCCGGTGGCTGAAAGGAGTTGGATTGTGTAGAATTCTAGTGAGCTCATTAAAAAATGCTCTAATGAGTTTATGTTCTCAGTCGTTAGTTCCTTTCAGCACAGCATCATGGTTCAATCAGGAGGGAAATAGACGACAAAACAAGTCGTTGCTCTCCCGTCACTTCCACTTTCACAGCACCAACATGGACAAATTTTGAGGCTTGTTCACAAAGCAGTGGCTGACGTCATGGCGGCAACATTCATCTTTTATGTGCAGTCTGTGGTAAACCTGCAGGCTATCTGAATTATTCTATCAGACCTCTCAGGACTGCGTGGGAGCACCGAGTTCATGTTAAGGTGGGACTTTAAACCTTGTTGAATCCATGGAGGCTCGCTACCACCTTCAACTTGGGCAGAGGTCTGAAGAGATTAAGTGAAAACACCTGTGTGGGAGTGCAAGGAATTCACATGCGGCCTGAGACTCACGTACAGTAGGTTGGATTTCTGAATGTGTTTTGCTTTTTCCATTTGTTTCTTTTATCTCCGGGGAATAACTGACTAAATGCAGAAGACCTGATGTCAAGCCGAGGCATTTCTGTTGCAACTTCAATGGAAGCCGACAGCTTACGTGGCTGAATCAACAGTACATGTCAGTTTTGTGTGTCAGCTGCTCAGAATCAAACAGTGCTACAGTCACAACGGGGAGAAGCTCAGGGCTCAAGCTGAAGACAGACCAGTTTTCCCTCTTGTATTCTTGAGTGACACGTACAGCAGCTGTTATTGGCATTTCTCTCCATTCCTTTATGTGTAACCAGCAGCTAATCATGTCTAATGACTTCCCATCTGCTCCGTAGAGGTTGTTCAAAGGCAATCTGGTAAATATTAAGAAACTGAAAAAAAACGTAGACGAGGTTGTGTGATGAAGGTGAGAAATAAAAAACCGTTGATTACAAAGTTAACTGAGATGCATCGACGGTGAAAACGTCGTTAAACCAGGACTTCAGGCTACACTGTGTTTATCTCGACCGTCTGAGCCACCGAGCAGAGCCCCTCCTCCTGTAGGATCAGCAGCTCCCCCACCGCCGACTGCCCGTGGACCACAATGCACTGCTCTGCGCTTTCCGATATCACCACCTCCACCAGCTCCTGCCCCGTCCCCGCAGGCAGCGAGGCCTCCGAGGTGAGCAGCAGAGGGGCGGAGCTCGGCGTGGACAGGTCATCCGTGTGGACGTACACGACGGCGTGTTGGACGTTAGCCGAGACATCTTCGTCTCTGGGAGTCTCGCCCGTTTTACACTTCTCCTCCCCTTTCCCTCGACCTCTTCTCCGCCTCACTTCACGTCCTTCCTTCTCCACTTCCTCTTGAGGAAGCGAGTTCTTCTTGGGTCTTCCTCTGATCGGCTTCGGGTGACTGTAAGCTAACTCCGGCGCCACCTCCATGTTGCTGCTCTCCTCCTTGCGTCCCCCCTCCACCTCCACCTCCCTCTGAGTTCCTCCCTCTGTCCTGTGCTGCGCTTGGTGTCTCAGTAGACTTTGTCTTACAGTGTAAGAAGCGCCACAGTGGCAGCTGTAGGGTTTCTCTTTGAGGTGGGACGACCTCACGTGCCTCCTCAGCTTGGTGGCCAACGTGTAGCCTAAAGAAGACAAAGAGAAATCAAATTCCAACATGTTTATGTGGCTGAGAACATTGTAGGGATTTAGCTGGATGACCTCCAGAGTGTAAATATTTTACTGGGGACGGCATTACTGTAGCCGTGTGGCCAATGAAGACACCAGCAAATAGTTGACGCCTCTCAAATAAAGAAGTTTTCTAGCATGCAGAAAAACATCCATGATACTTTTTCACTATAACAATGGAATGATTAATAATTAATGACAATGTTGACTGTTGGTTAAGAGATCTGCCCTAACTGGCTGAGAAAGTGATTCAAACCTTGCATCCCTGATCGGTGGTTTTCAGTGTTTATGTAGCTGTAAGCATTATGGGGGTTTAGCGAGCAAAGAGTCACCATGACACAGACTTCTGCATCGTTTATCGGCTTCCAGAGTGTAAACATATTTCACTGGGGACACTTGATACCTCTCAACTGAAATAGCTCTGCTGCACACAGAATAAAATCCACGATGCTTCATCCCCTTTACAATGGAATGAATAATAACTGATGACAAAGTTGACCATCGGTGAAGAATTAAACTGACTAAAAATTACATTTGCATCCCCGATGGTGTGTAAAAGCCAATAATGTAAGAACAGCCGATAGCGTAATAAATTTGCACTTTTTAAAACGTAATAGGCCAATAACATAGTAACTGGCCAATATCGTAATAAAAGTCCTGAACAGATAACGTAATATCTTTTGGCCAATAACGTAATTAGTTATTATGTTACTGACCTGGTAAAAACAAATATATTTGCAAATGTAATAACCAGACAATATCGTAGTAACTTTGCGTGATTGGCCAAAAGATATTACGTCATCGGTTCAGGACTTTTAGAACGTTATTGGCCTGTTACATTTTAAAAATGTATTATTTTATAGGCTGTTATTATGTTCTCAGCTTCTACATGGTGGTTGGTGTTTGTCTGGCTGAGAGCCATGGAGCTAGCAAAAGGTGACTATTGTAGCAGTGAATGACTTCCAGACACTGTTCTTGTGTAGATTTTGAGCCTGTGTGTCTGATGAATAAAGCTGACGTGCGGTAAATATGAAACAGCCATGGTTAATTACAGCTTTATTAACACGTGGAGAAATGGCCATTCTTCTCGTTTCTACTTTTAATTGATGGTTGGTTGTTGACGTGGCGGGCTATTGGTAAAGAAAAAAAATTGTATAAACTTGCGACCAGAGCCTGTATAAAAAGGGTAGAAGTGAAGCCAACATGGAAGCGACCTAAACACATTTATTTAGCGCTGATTCACAATATAAGTCAGCTCAGGGCTCTTAGCATAGTAAGGTGAAGACCTAACCAATTGAAACGTTTCCCTTTGAGCAGCTCTTTGGCAAAAGCATGAAGAAAAACATCCTGTTGAGCTCTTTTCAGACACGAGAGTAATAGTGCTGCTTTGTCGATCCGTTAAAACGACAGCAGACACGGTACCATACATTTCATTCACAAGAGTTTGGACAGTACGTGTGATGTATAAAACCTAATATTGCACGAGTAAACAAAAGCAGCTCATGAACTGGTCCAAAAAAAAACAAAAGCCTCGTTTTTTTTGGTTATAATTTCACAAACACTGCGTCCCTGTCATGCTTGTGTTTTAAATAAAGGTATATGTGCACAGATTGGTGTTTATCCAGCTTTACTTCAATGTTGTGGAGAGATATGTTGATTACAATGCGCAATTATCCAAAAAACAATAATGCTGCGGCAGATGTTGTGACATTTGTCGGAAACACATCAGCAGCTGTCTGGTCTGATCTGTGAGTGAGTCTTCTGCGTAATAATAAAAACAATAAAGTGGGCGAGTCTGGACAATCTGAACACAGCTTAGGTTCTCTACTGCTTGAGTTAACTACAGTGAAGTTATCAACCACAACAGGTGGTGCTTTATCCTGTAAAGCTGTGCTGTTTTTAATTTGATATATTTAAAGGTTAGGGCAGCTGTTGTTCTTCTCCGTCTTATCGCTAGTTAATCTAAACCTACTTGTTACACTCAACGTCCAAAACAGCCTCAAACACACAAATATATTGTTTTATGTAAAAGAAAAGCTGTTGTTTTAATTTAATATTACTCAAATACACGTGTTCGGGCCTGTGTTAGATGAACACATTTGATGCTTTGCGACCGTTTGAGGCAGCACATACAGCTCTGGATGCTAAACAATTCAAGTTAGCTGGATTATTAGTGCTGCTGTTGAGTTTGATACGTTCATATAATTCGTTTTTGTCGTTAATGTCACGGGAGAAAACTGTACAAGTTTATCAAGCAAACCTTTACTGTGCTTTTGGTTCAATTCACAGAGACTGGACAGCCAATACACACATTATTTCCTCCACTTTGTACAGCAAAATACGTAATTTCAGCGAATGTAAAATGTGCTTATGAGATAAGCTACTTGCAGGCACAATTACACACTTTGGATTCAGTGAAAACATTTTTGTTCCAATCTGAATCTTAAAAGTCCACGAAGCTGCAACGTTCCTCGACTATAAATCGCTTTTTGGATATCAAATGTCAGGCTTAAGTGAGACTGTACGTGAAGCACTTTAAAACTGCCTCAAACCATAAATTGAAACTACCTTGTATATAACAGTCAATAAAAAAATAAAATGAAGAGAAAAACCGAGTCTGTGCCGGCGAGCAGGTCACGAGGGATGAAACGCAACCGTCTTAGAGTTCATCAATAGTGAAGCCAGTGAAGTTTTTAGCGCTTCGTAAACAAAAAGCGAGCATCCTCGTAATCAGCAGCTTGTGCTTTCTGATTGAGTATGCAGGACGGAGCTCCCGCAGCCTGCTGAGCAAAATAAATGAGGCCGGTTTGAGAAGAATTGGCCAGCAAGAGCTTTACGCCCCCGACTGGCTTTTTCATCGACTCATTGTTCGGCATTTTATTTCTGCTGCAGTTTTTCCACTCCGAGACTCTCTTCAATGTCAACAGAATAACAAAGTCAAAGCACCGAATGTATATAAATATGTCTGGAAGCACTTTGTAAACAGATTAAGATAAAGTTAATCTCTTATTAGGACCTGAGTACCTTCAGTATCAGAGGGAATCACTGTTTAATAGAAGTTTAAAGCCCCTTTGATAAGACTTTAAAAACTTTCAGACTCTATGTTATGGACTAATGTGCAAAGGGACCTAAACTTTTCCAACTGGGAGAAAATGGGCCCAAAATTCCTACCGGAATTACTTAACTCTGGCCGTTTCATCCTTTTTTTATTTGACTTTTAAGTTTGAATATCAAGTTCTAACCTTTCCCACAGATGGGGCAGCGATGGGGTCTTTCTCCAGTGTGCAGCCTCTCGTGGGACTTAAGGCTGTGCGGGTCCCTCAGCGACTTCCCACAGTAGCTGCAGAGGAAACCTCCTCCGGTGTGGGAGAACATGTGGCGGCTGAGCTCTGGTTTCTGAGAGAAGGTCTGGTCGCACTCGGAGCAGGGAAACGGTTTGTCCCCGTTGTGGATCCTCAAATGGCACTCGAGGTTCCCTGAGACAGAAACAGTCAGATACCAGTTAGCGGATGAGGCAGAGTGAATATTCAGCTTTCAAATAACGTGTGAAGACGCGGTTTGTCTCTCAGAATTGATGTTGTCACTTTGACGGATGAAAACAGAAATCGCAGGGATTGATCACCGCTGGGAGCCTCCTCTCGGCTGCCTAATAGTCTCTTGTTGAAAATAATCGAGTCGAGTTAACTCATCAATGTGACCGCAACAAATTCACAATTAAAGGAATACGTTGATGTTTTTAGAGACGTGTTTTCTTTCATATTGGAGCTCAGATGAGAAGATCAACATCAGTTTCATCCCTGTGTGTTCGATGAAGGAGTTTCTGGGACATAATTTGCACTTGGGAAAAGTCAAAACTGTTTCTTTCAGTTTAATAAATCTGCCTCAGTCACTGACCGCCTGTGAAATGTGGCTTCAAAACCAATTAACTCGCACAACTTGTTATTCCCAGTCCTCAGTCCTAATCGAGGATCTAAGGACAGATCTAAGGGGGGGGTTTGTATGCTGTTCAGATTTTAAAGCTTTGATGTATGATATTCAGCCCCTTAGAAGTCCTGTCCTTGTGGTGAAGCTACTTTAACAAAAACTCAGGTGATTCTTGGGGGTACCGGTGGCCTCCTTGCAAGCTAACTATGAGGTGGGACTGCTAATGAAGTGCAAACTGGACTTTGAGGGGGGAAAAAAGTGAAATAAGGAGGGTGGTTGAGCCGTCCTCGGTCAAAACCTGCTGCACTAAGTTGGTTCTCATGATGAAGGATGAAACCATTTTTCCACGGCCATTGGTGTAGTTTCTAAAATCTAGACCGCAATACTTGTATGTTGGAGGTAAATGGAATTAAAATGTTTTTTAAATATAACCACATCTTGCAGGACATCTCTAGGGTTTTCTTTTTTTCTTCTGAGCTCTTTCTTTTGCTTTCAGTCTTGGTGCGGAACACCGATGCCAAGAACTATTTTTAACATGAAAGTCTGCTGCATGGACTCACCTGCCAAAAACTGCCTTTGACATTGTTTAAGCTGCTATCACGTGTAGCTACTGTAAATTCATTGTTTAGTTCTCATTTTGAAAGTGTTTTGAGCAGAGCTTTGCACAGTAAAAATGCAAACATGGGAATAAACTGCTATTCCCATTGTAAATACTGTGCATTAAGGTGAACAAATAAAACTAAGGTCAACTGTTGAGGCTATTTTCTGGGTAATTTCATTGCATTTACTTTTAAGCTCTTATGTTGGTCATTAAAAGATGCAGTCATACATGCTGTGTGTTGTTTTTTTCTTTTTCACAGAAGAGTGGAGGCCATCAGGTCTTCCATCGTTTGATATAAAAAATTTCCTTTTGTTTTTTTACATTTGCTTTTATATCAAGAAAAAAATGATTAGTATTAGGAAACAGTTTTTGTTTGCATGTTGTGTGTACGTCATGATAAAATACTGGAAGTCGAGATGTTTTTCAATAATTGTGGAGGCGAGATTTTCTGGAATCTGGAACTGTGGAGCCACGATGGTGTGAAATACAAACTGGGAATAATATCTGTTTAGTGTGTGTCTGAAATAAATGTCCTTTTATTTACTGGCATGTTCGCATAAAGCAGCTTAATGCAAAAGTGTCAAACCAAGAAACTGTCGTGTATATTAACATATCTAGATATCTGCGCAATGACAACTTAATGAGTAAATTTAAACAAGAGTTATGGAAGTGGACATAATTATGAATAAATTTGATGTAAATTGAATTTATATATTTATTCTTGCAGACACTTGGTCACACATACAAGCAAGTAGGATTGCTGAAAAGGTCAAGTCATGCAGTTGTATCTGATATACACTCTATCACCTCACTGCAGTAAAACTTTCACAGCAATTTAACTGTGATGAAAGGATGTGGCTTTGGACGACAAGTGCATCCATCAGGCTCTAAGGGTTGAAGAGCTCACATTCTGCAGCTTTATTGTTTATTAATGTCATTCTGAGTGTCTCCTACAATATTTTTACATGATTTTATGTTAAAAAATCACATTATTTTCCTCATAATACACATTGCTGCAGCATTTCTTCTCATTCTCTGTTTAAAATGCTCAGTTTTAGCTCCTGTCTCTTCAATGCAGAACTTTTACATGCAGCTTTAAAAGACACTAAGGAAATTAAGAATACTAAAAAGCAGAATATTGACTCTTTAATAGTCAGATTAAATCATGTAGAACAAAAACAAAGCAACAGGAGGTCCTCAGTGTGTTACACAAGTATGGATTGGTCATGAACTTTAGACACTCAGCCACATTTCTGCTTCTGTTTTTAGAAAGAAGTCTCTAATGGTGTCTTAAAAGTTGTTAAAGTGAGGAAGAAAGTTGGAAAAAAAAAAAGCAGAACAGGCACTAAACTAAGCTAAACACATCCCTGACTGATCCGTCTGCAGATCAGAGCGAGAATTTTAGTTCACAACATGACAGTGCTTGAAGCTTTAAAGACATCCTCATCGGAGCAGAATGAAACCACACGACAGGAGAAACAATCACGTCTTCTCGTGAGGAACGGTTTGTTTGTGAAATGTTTATCTGTGACATGAAAAATTAGGAGCCGAGACGGATAACAAGCTGACAGTAATATCGGCGCGACGGGGAAATCTATTTAAAGTCAGCCGACGTGAGCCACCTTCACATCTATTTGTACGAGGCAGATTGTGCCGTTTCTGGCGTCCAACTACATTTACACAAACTTACTGTTGATATTAATGTGACTGCAAGAAATTAGAATGTAAGAGCAGATGAAATAATTATATTGAAGCATGTTGTGACAGAGTTGACAGTTCAGCAAAACAACTCAAGGCCAGGCGCTTAAATAAACTCATTTTCTAGTGTTTCATATTTTTTTTAAAAAGCCGTTTACGTAAGATTCAAAGAACTAAATAAGCATCCACAAGGTCAGTTCATGTTCTTTAGAGTTTACTGCAGCTAATATAAAGGAGGCGATTCACCTTGACGGGAATAAAGCGCGCCTCCAGTCATGTCAGATGAAGTTATGGCATTTTTATGAGAGTTAAATAACGTGAAAAGCAGGCATTTAAGAAGAGACGCGACTGTTTAGGGCGTCATTGTGCAACGTGTAAAGCTTCAGGATGAGCCGCTTGATGCGTCACTTTGTACGTTTGTATTTGCAGTAACAGATCCGAGCGTCCCCACTTTAGACTTTTAGGTTTTCGACTCACTGCTGCATGCCAAGCCAAACTGAAGATTGTTTGATAATCAGCAGTTGTGCTCCTGTCACGTTTTTATTCACTGTGGGCTCATTTTTCACCGCAACATAAAGTCCTGCACTTCTGTGGAAACAGCACAACCATGGCTAGGAGTAGAGAGAACTCAGGAATGTGTTGTGTACAGTATGACAAAGCTATAACGCCATAAATCATTAAAAAAGGAAGCATTTTTACAGCAATTGAAATAACCTGGAATCAGCATTTTTCAAGTGCCCACAGGTGCTACCAATTCTGGAAAGACATTTGTGGCACTAAATGTTAGAAACATTCTGCTAGTTCCATTTTTCAGCCTCTACAAGCTAGAAGTTATTCATACGAGGGTCAAAATCAATCAGCGCCTCCACCCTGATCTCCTCACAATCAGCTGATTTTATTCTGTACAATAATTCTAGAGTCTTTAATGAGGCAGTGCATGATTTTACCTTCATACTGTGAATAATTTCAGTTACAGGCCCCTTGAAATACGTAGCAGTGGGTTGAAAGTTTGCATTTTTTAAAATTTGTTAGTTTTCCCAGCATTTTTCGGCCTCTTAAGTAGAAGAGACTGCTACATTTTCAAGGCTGAAAACACATTTGAGCTCTGCAACATGCAATCAAATCAAAATTCCATCCACTCCGGGTGCCACAAAAATCTAATTCTTGATTTTTGTGAGCAACTCTGAGCATCAGTATCATGGTATATATCACAGTTTGAACGGCAGTTGGAAGTCGACGAAATAAAGTCATTGAGACGATCACCGGTGCTCTGGATGTGTTCTCTGCTTTCTGATAATTCACTGGAGAAAAAGTGCATTTTGGGTAAGATTTCAAGCATCATATCACCATGTGTGATAGGTGGTTGGTCAAAACAAGATACAGCAAATAAAAGTTCTCATACTTATCCACATTTTGACACCAGGTTTATATTCTGGCCACAATTCTTTCTGTGCAAAAATGGTTTTTCAATTTATGTAGATCTAAACAGCTGTGAATTTAGCTTCTGGCTATAAAGTGGAGAAACATTGTTTATACGTTTTATGTATATATTGATCAAACCAGTTGGCAGCCTTCAGTTCCTGTTAGAAAATCTTTGAAATTCTTCTCTTTTCTGTTCACTTCTTGTTCTGTCTGCTTGTTATACTAATAATTGCTTCTAGAGTTTCTGGCTCTGATGAATGGTGTCATTTTGGGGATTAAAAAAAATAAAAGATAACAGATTTTGGGTTTGGAACATCATATGTTGGGAACATCTGGCCACAGCAGCGTTTGTAAACTTCAGCACTCTCGATTGCTGATGCGGTAGTTGCAGCACCTGGATCACACCTGGGTCTCTGACTTTACCTTTCTGGCTGAATCTCTTCCCGCAGTGCTGACAGATGTGAGGTTTTTCCCCAGTGTGGAGCCTCATGTGGTTCCTTAGCGAGCCGGAGTTGGCCAGCAGCTTGGGGCAAACTGTACACTGGAGCTGGGAGAGAAAGCCACAATCAGATGCAGCAAGTCTCAAGGCGGCTCAATAGTATCCTTGTTAGGGTGCACTACCACATGGGCAGAAATGCCAAACCTGTACTGCATGTCATTCGCTTGCTCTCTTTCCCCACATTTCTTATGTTTCTTTACTGTCCGTCTAGTAAAAAAAAAAGCAAACCCACAGAGCACAGCATGTCTTCTTTGCTTCTTTATAAATACTTAAAGTTTAAACTGATGTTCGAGGAGGAAAAAAACGAGACCAGCACGCAAATTTAAAGATGTGAAAGATTTAAAACTTTGGTGCAGAGAAAGAAACTTTTTCAGAAAGTCTGTAATGGCTGCAGGGGGGAATGTGAGGCAGCAGCAGCAATTTAAATTATTCCCATTGGTGAGTTCAGATTTCAGGAGAGCTACTACTGACCATGGGTGAAAAATGAGTCGATTTACCTGCCCACCCCCCCTCATTAAAACAGCTGTAATATGAAAATGTCACCACAGATGAGTGAACAAGCACTTAGCAGAGGAAAAGTGCTCTGTACCTTTGGAGGCTGCGTGTAAATCATTCTGCTGCAGTGAAGCATGCGGTGGATGCGCAGCGAGGGGCGGCGAGCGAAGGCTTTCCCACAGTGTTCGCAGGTGTAGGGTTTCTCTCCGGTGTGGAGGACCATGTGCTCCTTCAGGTCTCGCTTTAGGCCGTATGACTTCTCACAGTGAGGGCAGGAGAACGGACGCTCCCCTCGGTGGTTCATCTACCAAGAAACACCATTATTATTTCATTTAGTACACATTAGCACTGCGGCTACTGTGATGCACTGGAAAGATGTACTGATGTGTACATCTTGGTCCCAAATACATTTTCATACTCTAAAACTAAATGTGCTCAGTCGGTGGGTCTGAAAGGCATGTTGCCAAAATTACATCTTTTATCAAAGAACATGTAAAAAAACTTTGCAGATTTTCAGCTTTCTGAGGGTCAGTCAGAATAATAACACATAATAGGCTTTTCCACCAGAAAAATTAAACAAATCTAACCGTCATTATTTCATTACAGTCACTATATTCTGTAACCATCCATCCATTATGTCTTGTTGAAAACTTTGCCTAAAACGAGCCGTTTCCACCCACACCTTGTAATGAATAAAATAAAAATAACGTGCTGCTTAGCGCAACTCAGAAGCTATGACCGCCTCGGTCACGTGACAAAACTTGATGGGATTATTCGGCTGAACTGCAGGCCGTGTTCACAAAGAGACAAGAGACAAGTTTGGAAACAAATGAAAGATAATGGACACTTCCTGTGGTGACTCATCTACAAATAATATCATTATTACTTCACATAATACTCGTTAGTACTGCGGCTATTGTCGGAGCTACATTGCTATTCTGCATGATGACTAATCTGCTGGCCATTAAGGGAGCAATCTGCTGGTGATAAACTCCAACACACACAAACTGCGTGCAAAACAACACTGGTGTGCATTTCTGAGCCCAATGTTGTCGTCAAGTGTCTTTTTATTTTCCTGTGGAGAGCCACGCAAAGAGGATAATGATCGCAGAGAATGTTTTAGCTGAAACATCGGCAGTAAACATCAGCTTCTGGTGTCAGTCACTGAGAATCAAAGGCCTCTTTGTGGATTTTGCACCATTGATGAAAAACCAAACAGAGAGACAGAAGAAGAAAAAAAACCCACAGAGGGCAGCAGAGATAAAAGGAAGGAAGATCTTAGCCTATCATAGATTAAATCACTTTTCTGTAAATGTCATCTGATTAAGTAACAACACATTGCATCACTGAGAAGCCATAGATATGTGAAGAAACCATTAAAAAAAAAAGTTTTCTCCGGCTGCGAGTACTGACGAGTTTTATCAACAGTATGATGTAATGATCTGTGCATTTTGGTTCCAAATATATTTTAATAGTGTAAAACTAAATATTCCCTCAACCCTTTGAACCTTTAAACCTGTCAGCAAGTCTGAAATTAAAGTTATCTTCTTTTTTTTTAAAAATGCAAAAATTACACCATTTATTAGAGACAGAAATTGTAAAAACAGAAGAAAATCTGTGGATTTTCAACTTTCCATAAACTGTTTAATGTGAGAAGTGGCTCTATCAGAAAAATTCAACAAATCTACACTTCAAATTCTGATATTTCATCAAACTCAAGTTTCATTCTGCATGTCGCATTCATACATTTACCAAAAATAAACCGTTTGCGCCACATGTTCTAAAAAAAAAAAAAATCATAAAAATAACTCACACTTTTAAGTTGACCAAGATTTTCCTGGGTCACTTTAACCCCACTTAAAACAAGACAGTTAAAATAGTTTCAGGAATAATGTTTTAATGTATGAAAACTACGGAAGTGTCCCAAAATATTTATTGATATCAGCCTGAAAAATCCTAGTTCACTTCAGCTCTAGTTGTAAATGCACAACACTGTCTGACATACAGTAGAGCGAGAACTTTACAGCTATTGTCGCTCTTAGTGTTCATGTTGTCGACTAGTTTTATTTATCAACTGTACAACGATATAAACTCATCACGGACTTCGGGCGCAACTTTTTAATGACAAATTTAAGGGACCATTTTCGGAACTCTTCAGCCACAGTATTTAGTTTGACTCAGGACATAAAGAAGAAGAAACAATGACCAAAAAAATGAATCAGAGTAAGAAAAAAACTGTTGCACCTGATGGGCTCTGAAGCTTTCTGCCGACGTGTAGCTTTTCCCACACTCCTGACAGCTGAAGGGTTTCTCGTCCGTGTGGCTGAACTGGTGCTTCTTCAGGTGTCCGATCTGGTAGAACTTCTTACCGCAGCTGGAACATCTGTACCGCCTCTCTCTGACCTCTGGATGCCATGTTGGCGCCACCCCGACAGAACCCGGCGCTGTGACTGCCTCAGGATCAGGCTGGAGTGTGTTTGTGGAAACCTTGGTGCTGTCGGCGGTTTCTCCCTCGACCTGTTTGGGTGAGTCGGGACTGGACGGAGGCCTCTTGGCCCGGTTGGTCAGACAGTGAACCCGTCGAGGTTTAGCAGCCAGACGGGAGCTGCAGCGGACTGGAGGAGGTGCAGGGAGGCCGGTTTCAGAGTCCACGGCAGCCAGGACGCTTTCTGCTGAGTCTTTATTAGCTGCTGAGCCGTCGGTGCTGCTGTCCGGATTCACCTCGGCTTTCCTCTTCTTCCTGTGTGCAGCCGAGCGACTCCTCTTGATGCATCTGTTCAGGTTTCTGTGCTGCTCCTCCTCCTTGTTCTCCTTCTGTTTCTCTTCCTTCTCCTGAATGATGGACATGTCAGTAACTTCAGTCTCTGGGCCTTTCGTTGGCTCCATCTCGTCTTCTGTCCGAAAAACAAAATTACAGTTAAACGGTGTCATTTATGGAGCAAAACACCAAACAGCCTCCTCTTCCTGCCTACTGTAGAAAAAAAAACTACAATTGCTAATTTTCTCTTTATATACCTTTGTAAAGCGAATATTTTGGGGTTTTAGACTTTTGTTTTGACAAATTAGAGGAAATAATGTCAGCCTGTAGGAGCTTGTGATTGACATTTTTCACATTAGCTGTCGAGTACCTCTCTCTGCACAGGGAGTGTACGAGTAGTTCTGCAATCTGAGTCAGTGTAATGGATATAGCTCTACAGATATGAAGGAAGCAGACCAAGAATAGCACGTTCTTATTTATAAAGCTACTCTTGGTCTGCTTCCTTCATATCAACCAAAGAAGCAGGGAACTACTGCCTTTTTTTTTTTTTTTTTACTCTTATTATCTGTTCTCAGAGCCAACACTGAAGTGGGAAAGAGGCCATTTAAGTACACGGCCTGCTTCGCTTGGATCGGCTGCAAATTGAATCTTTAAGAGCCGATATCACGAAATGAATTCAAAGCAACATGATATGACTTGGAGGCAGACACATTAGGATGATGTGTATAATTATCAGTATTCTATCGTTGTGATTCTTTCTTGCTGTAATGCTTAATCTTTATGTAAACCTGATTTATGCTTTGTT